TGCTAATAGAGTGTAGTCTTTTTTAAGTAATTGCACATAATTTCATATGCAATCCTCTGTGCTAGACCAGAAATCTAGCTTTCCAGAAGGAAACTTCCACCTTTGCTTGCCAGGGGCTGAGCCCCACCCAGCTTTAGGCTTTAAAAATTGAGACTGCAGCATCCATCAGTAACTCATTTAGTGGTTGCATCTCCATGTGAAGCATATTTCTGAAAACTGTGTATTTGTAATTTCCTAAGAGATCCTAAAGAGGTAAATGAAGGTCTTCCTGGTGAAGATGTTGGTGTGTTTCTTCAGATAGAGGGATGTCCGAGACACCAGCTGCTGCGCACACACTATCAAGGGGTGCTCTGGCTGCTTCAGGCTACTTATAGGTAATCTGGGGAGCAGGAGAGGTGGAAAGGAAAGCAGCCACACCGTGACCACAAAAGGAGAACTCTGTTCCTTCTAACACTGACCCAAGATGAGTTTTCCTACAGTGTGGTATAACCTACTGTCAGGAATACCTTTAGGATCATCTAATCCAGAACATGTGATCTAAGAATAGATCATATCATCAGAAGATGATAAGGAAGGAAATGTTTATGGCCCATATCACGGCTAAAAAAGCTGGAAACAAGTTCTGTTGCATTATTCCTCAGGCTGCTACTGCATGATACTTTCCTTAGTTTTATGTACTCTTTACAGTTTTTGGTAATCCTTCTCCAGTGTAGTCCTGTGGCCTTGTGTCATGCAAGAACCACGTTGTTTGCTCCTAGTTTGGAGCACGCGCAGTCTCTGTTTCCCTTTTCAGGGTTTTAAAGCACATTTTCTAGGTGGTGCTGCCCTGAGTAAGAAGCTGCGGTTTCTGCATTGTCCATTTTGATGACTACAGGCTTGTAGTCATCTGGGGCTTGCTGTCCAGGACACTTGGATACAGAGGATTCCAACTGAAGTACTCCAGGGACATTTTTGCTAAATCCTGATTATGCTTGTATTGTCTATCAGTGAAAGAATTTAAGTCAGCTAAATTGCCCTGACAAGTGATTGCTAGAGGTCACAAATCAGAAGGGAGGTATTTCATCCCATTAAAGAATTTTAAGTGGCACATGGTGGATGTAGTCTGGCTAGAGGAGCTAGTCTTGTGTAGGTGAAAGGGAGTATGTAGCTGCAGCGTTGTGCTAATCTGAGTGAAAAATGGCTGAAATATGTACCTTTGTCAGGAATAGTGCCTTCTCACTGTTCTGCTTTTAGGCATTTGAATCTGTCTCAGAAACAGTCTTTTCCCTCCATCTTTGATTCTTTCTAAATAAAAATATAATTCAGTAGAAAAATGTATTTAGATTGCATTAGGGGTATGTGTAACAATCTGAACTGATGCTGAATAAGCTAATGAAATTCTTTTGTTTCCTAATTGAGTGGTTTACTTTGCACGCAATAACTTATATAGCTGAAGGAAATAGAAAAACTTGCCATGTGCTACCATGACATTGCACATCTTCCTACCTTCTATGAAGACTACAGATTTTCTCTTCTTTGTTCTTTCTCTGTCTTACTGGTTCTTGGGATCAGCTGTCCCGGCTGTGTCCCCTCCCAGCTGCTTGTGCACCCCCAGCCTGCTCATGGGTGGGGTGGGGTGAGGAGCAGAAAAGGCCTTGACTCTGTGTAAGCACTGCTCAGCAGTAACAAAAACATCCCTGTGTTGTCAGCACTGTTTCCAGCACAAATCCAAAACAGAGCCCCACACCAGCCACTGTGAAGAAAATGAACTCTATCCCAGCCAGAACCAGCACCAGCTATGCTTTTATTTTTCTGTTGTTTCTGATAGTTCCACTTCATCTTCTTCCTGAGATTAATTTGTAACTGAGTAGAAGAAACTGTCTTTAGGTCATATGACAGCTAAAATGTAACCCAGTTCTACCATGATGTTAAAAAGGAAAAAAAAGTCAGTGAGGTGACTGGAAAACTTGAACTTCTGGGTTTTGAGGAAATCATGGGGTTTTTACTACATTCCTGAATGCTGTAACATGGGTAATGACAGTAGTGATGTTATTAGGTGTGGACCCTGTGCACTGCAGATGAGCAGAATTATTTGGCCTAATTTTTATAGGCCTGGTCCAATGACATAATGGCATTAATCTTCTTTGTAATTAAGTCATTTAAAGCTTACACCACTCATTTAAATATACATTGGGTTTAGTAACTTGTGTGCTTTTATAGAGGCATTTTGTCAGTCTAAAAAGACTCTTCGTTATAGATACGGGGTGGGGACGAAGAGGGCAGCACTTGGTGTGAAGATGCATGCAAAGTAAGGTACAACTCCTAAGACTCTGAACGGTAATGGAAGGAAAAGGCTTACGTAAATCTATTATATCTACAAACCGGGTGGATGAAGCCTTCATGATGGCTGGCAAATCATCCGCAACCCAGATCACTGTGGTAATGGTGGATACAAGTTAGGCAGCTGTTGAGAAAACAAGAATATTATCCGATATTTTGTTCAGGGTGTTTGCTGTTGACAGTTTTGTGCTACATAAAGCAGAGGAGCCATCTAAAGGAGAGAGACTCTGTGATTCAAAATGGGGAAGTTACTGAAAACATGGAAGTTGAGGAAATTTTGTGTAAATGTGACTTAAGTGAGAGTTTATGGTGCCTAGTAACAAAAGGAGGGAAGAATGCTAAAGTAAAAACAATGGATTTTGTGGAAGAAGGCTACAGTAAATACAGAATTGGTAGATAAGATCTTTTAGTCAAGCCTCAAGGGGAAAAGGAATTAGGGAGAAGTGATGCTTTGTCAGAGGTAATACTAAAGCACAAACAATGCTAATGCAGAGATTTAGACTTCGATTAAACTGTAAATTCTTCACTGACCTCCCATACTTTCTCAGTTTGAGGAACAGAATAAAAGATTTGTATGAGAAAGGGACAAAGCTGGGTAGGGAGCAGGGAATGGGGACACCCGGATTAACTCCATTTCCTTTTTTAAGCAAGGGGCAATCAAGCTAGTACGCACAAGCACACACATCCAGAAATGCTGTCACACAGCAAAAGAAGAGCCAAAGAAAGCGTTTATCACTTACAAGCCTTTTCTCCTATGACAAGAAAATGATACCGAGGTTCTAAAGCTTTTCATTGACTTTGTGAGCAAGTGTTTGCGAAGAAGTCAGCTGTGTATGGTGGCTAGCACGGTACTGATGCTGAAACAGCATTCTGCCACCTGTGTATGCAAACCAGCTGTTGCTGAAAATTAAATAATACTATGAAATGTAAACAAATGTCGCAAACCCTGTGGCCAGTTTATGGAATTCCACAGATTTTAATTTCAAAGTTTTAAATACATATATTGGGAGTTACCTTTAATATTAAAATATTTAGATGTTCCCTAACTTCTCAGTGTAAAAATTTGGTTTCTGAGGTCTTTTGGTGTTTATACTCTTGACAATCTGACTGGTAATGTTTCAGCCCAATAAATTCCTGATTTGGTTGGAAATGTCAGAAGTTTATTTTTAAATGACGTGCCGCGTTCTTCTGACCTGTCTGCAATAAAACCAGAAGCCAGCGATTGCTTATGCCTAATTTAGTGTGATAAAGTGAATTTGATATATTTAATATATTTATATATTTAATCAAGGATTTGTACAGCATATGATACCATATGTGGGTAACGTGTAACTAATGTATAATGCTTTATTTTAGGCAAACGTAACTGCTTCTGTAGGGAGAATTATTACTAGCGTGAAGCCAAAAGCATATTCAAGGATGTTTCTTCCTACTCTAATTTAGCCTGTGCTGGCATAGATACCTGTTTATAATCCAGTCGTCTTCAAGCAGCTGTCAAATCATTGTGATTACCAAACTAGTAGGATTTTATCTGTGTTTTAAAAGAGGAATTAAGCTGCGACTGGGGTAGCTGAGTGGAAGAGCCACAAATGGTACTTTCACTTCTAGATTCTGCTCTTTTCCATGGAATTCGTGGGGAGCACAGTGGTTTGTTCTGTAATATAGACAGTTGAGAGGGGGCCTAAAATGTCAATTAGAGGAGGCAGTGATATTTTTGAACACTGAATATGGATTTCACTGTGGTGGGTCCATGTGAGGATGCCAGAGTGTAATATCAAACCGGTAAAAGGTCACGGCCTACTTCCCCCCACACCACCCCCACACACACACATACACCCATTATTTGGAGCATATTTCAGATGTTCTTTGCATCTCAAGGCTCTGAAATAAATTTTCATTTTGGGGTTTTTTTTTAGTTCATTTTATGACAGTTAGTGTCAGTTGCTTTAGCTGGTTCCCATCATTTGAATCAAAGGATCACAGTACTTGGATCCTCCGGGACAAGTATAAATAAAAAGAATTGAAATATTCTTAGAAAATATTCTTGTCATACTGGGAATCATTTGCTAACATAGCTTTTCCGAGAGATGAAACTAAGTGAGAAGAAGCTGGTGCCAACTCAGCTTTCTGAGTAACTCTGAAATATTGCTAGGGACTTCAGTAAATTATTCAGCAAATTATTCCTGAAGCAAAACAAAATTACTTAAGGAATATTACGTTTGACGTATTACACAGAGTCCAGCTCTTTCAGGAGATCACAGTATTAAGAATGCAGCTTTATTAGTACATTTGAGGAAGCTCAACATCTTGAGCATGATCTGTGTGAAATTCATATAGCTTATAGCTGGGTGAGATGGTGTCAACACAGTTAAGGTACATCCAAGCCGTGATCACTGCAGGGAGGGAAAAAATGCAACTAATGAAGAAGAATAATGGCACTTTCATTAAGTTTTCATTTTAACCCTTTTTTTTTTCTTGAAATTAATTTTAACTCAAAGTTTCTGTTTTAGATGATAGAAATCTCAGCTTTCTCCATACCAATATTTTCCACTTTTCATTCTGTTAAATGTTAAACTCTGTAGCACCAATTAAATGTACTGTAAATTAAGTATAAGTAAATGTTTAATCTTTCTGTGAACTTTGAATCGTATACTAGTGGTTTCTCTTTTTCTTTGAATTAGATGGAGAGCAGAAGACTCAAGTGATGATTCATGGAATCGAGCCAATGCTGGAAACACCCATACAGTGGCTAAGTGAACATATGAGCTATCCAGATAATTTTCTCCACATTGGTATCATTCCCAGACCTACTGATTGAAACTCAAGCTGTTCTGGTATGAGGATCATTCTCAATCTGGAATTATAAGGGCATGTCAACTTCTTGTGTCTGTCAGTCTTGACAGAGGCAGCCTGACCAGAAAAAAAAAAAAACAACAAAAACTGAAACAAAACAAGAAGTCCTCCTCACTGCTGCAAGCCAAACAGGAAGAGAGATCCCCTCATCAGATAAGGGCAATTGGGCTGATCTTATTTTGCATCACTGCTGCTTTTCTTCACCACTGTAATTAAATCAGTTGCGATATGAAAGAATTTACAGGACTTCTGCAAGTCTGCTGTTTTCTTGTAAAATATAATGAAGCTGAAACTGTCAGCCAAAGAGCAAATGGAAATATGCCACTTGATTGTATTTCTGATTAACAAATAAACAGGGCTGTTTCCTAAAGCGGTAGTGTTTCAACTTTGAGAGTGGAAACATTGGTTTAATTTTCTAGAAAGTTAGACACTGAGCGATTCAGTTACCAATAGCTTTTTGTAAAAGATCAAATTACTGTAAACCCATCTTTCCTTAATGAGAAGTTCATGTTTACAGTATGTGTATTGGTATGCAAATGATCTTTTAACTTTGATAACAAGCAGTGAGAGATTTTAAAGTAAACCCGTGAGCATGTTTTGTCATTTAAAAACATGCACAACTTAATAATTTACAAATACTTTTGATTTGTATGCTGTCACTGAATACTCTGCTATGTTTATTATTCAAACCGGTTTTCATAGACTAGCAATGATATAGGATAATTCGTCTCAGGATTTGTCATGGCATTTCTTTGTGCTCATCTACGGTTTTTTTCTGTAAGAATATTTACTTAATTTAGTTTAAAAAGTTAAAAAAAAAAGAGAAGTAAACATATGTTGCAAACGATTGTATCCCGCTGTTTATTCCCATAGACTAGAAAACAGTTAAATTGTAGAATGATGAACAGATGTATTGCTTTTTAATAATTTTGAATTTTGGAAAGCTGAGGCTTTTCCAAGCTAATACTTCCTTACATCTGAGTTTAGTTTTCTACTGTGGTCCCTGAGCAATCGGTCTGAAATTTGGAAGCTTCTAATCCCATTGCACAGATTTTTCCTTAGTTTAGCAGATGTATTTTTAGGTTATTGGATTGCTTTGGTTTCTAAATGTTTGTTACCATTGCAGCTGCTACTAGGAGTCTACCATTTTTTCTTGTTACGCTGAATTCATCCAACGGTTGTGCTGTATTGCTCTGTCTGCTGTTTGTGGCTGTTTGTGGCACAAAACTATGTTTATAGTAGGCATATTATCAAATATGTCAAATATTATCAAATACAAAGAAAGCATGACATTTTTCTTCCAAAAATAGTAGCTGTTGAGGTTCCTCAAAGTCTTGGCTTGCAAATGTGCTGGCAACTCCCAGTGCTGTTCCCATTCTGCTTTGTTTCCGTGCTCCCTTTATGGTAGGATACTTACCTGTATCTGAAAAAGAAGAAAATGAAATCAATCAGACAAACAAAAACCTCTTTAAGAAACAAGAGGGGAGGGATCTCCTCGGGTGAGGATAGAATTGAGACTAAAAAAAAAAAGCCCTAAAGGCAGAAAGTCATTAGACAAATGAGTGTTTTAAATGTAAATGAGGAAATAGCGTTACCTAAAAGGAAGGGAAAAGGTAATAGTGAAATAAACCTATGCTGTATTCTGTGGGTCATGAAGAGTTTTTAAAACAAAACCAACCATGCTGATGTGTGTTCATGCAGAATTGCAATACAGTCTTCTTACAGCGGGATGATTTGGTTGAGTTACTCTAATTTCCCATTCTGTTGGTAATTTTTTTGTTACAGTGTTGGATTGGCATTTATAAACTTTCTTAGGCAGACAAATTTAAATATTCTGGAGAATTTCAAAGTCCTGCCAATGGATGAAGCAAATATCTTGTAGAGTCTTCATATTTTAAAAAAAGGCTTTTGTAGGGATAATTTTTCCATTAATCAGGATAAGAGGCAGTATGAAGATTGTGTTTCCTTTGTTTTAAGGTAAGCTGGAGTAAGTCACTAGCTATTTTAATATATCCTACACCAGCATTTTAAGTACATGTCTGTCTTCTCATGGCCCTGTTTGTTAGTAAATCCAACTTTTAAGGCCTAGTATGGAACAGAGAAATAGCTTGGCTTTAAAACATACTCTTTCCTCTTATCTTAAATAGTTAAACTTTATTAAAAAATAAACCAAAGTTCGAGTCTGTCTTTATTTCCAGCTTTTGTCACAGAGTGACAAAAACCTTTAATTAATAGTTAATAATTAGGAACTTCTTAAAGAGCTGGTTGGGTGATGTATCTAAACAAAAGGAATGAAGCTGTCTTTGCCTGATGTAAAGCACATTTTTGTAGTTGTTTCCTTAATGTGTGCATAACAATAGCAACAGAAAGTGTGTTGTGGCTTTAATTAGTTTTCTTTATTTTGAAATGCTGTAGTCTCTGGGAAAAAAACAGATTTGGTCTAAATTGGTCAGAATCTAACATGGTGCTCACTAAATTAATTTTGGTAATAAAGTGGCAAATACATGCACACACCCACCTCTACATTTAGAATTTAGGTGTATCTGGTGAGCAAGTTAAATCATAGTTTAAAAAAGAGCAAAATTCAGAGTTTGTTGCTGTCTTCACTGTATTTCATGGTTTTGGGCAATGGCTGTCTCCACTTTAGAATGTTCAGTGAAGAAAGAATGAATTTTCCAATTCCTTCTTTGATACCACTGGCTGTCACTCAGCCCACTGTCAGTCAGCACACAAGGCGATGCCTTTTCAATAAGCGATTATTTTAGTTTTACATTAATTTCCATTAATTCTTGGGGGGGGAAGAGCATCCTAAATAAAATAAATTTGTACTGGTAAAAAGTTGGAAGCCTTTGCCGCTACTGGGAAAAAGGTAAACTTGACATCTGAAGACCTGGTAACCCTGGAAAATGGGAAAAGATGCTAAAACCGGTGTGGGCAGAGGGATTAAGGAGAAGGATTTCTGCTGGGAAATGAGTAGAGCTTGCACAATGGTGTGTTATGCTGCTAAAGCACCTGTAATCCTGGGTTCCCATTAGGTACAGAAAATTCAGAAAGCAGGAGGGATTGTTTGCCTGCAGGGGCAGGGGGTCTCATATGTATATGGGGGTGGGTTTGAACACCCCTGTGTGGAAAAGAGACTTTTGGACTGGTATGTGTAGGGATTGAGCTGCCTTAGTGGCAGAAATGCAAATACAGCTGGGAATATGTATTGGTGTGATTGGGAAATCTTGCAGGAATGTGAAGAAAATTCAGTATTAAGGACAGATCAGACACAGGAACTTGGAGTGTGAACAAGCCATAAGTGGAAAGGAAAACTGTTGAGCTACTTCAAACCCCGTTACTCCTCCACGAAGAGTTCTGGGAGCTGTGGAGCGAGCTAATAGGAAGGTTAAGTTACAAAAAGGGTAAGAGCTGGTTGCCTGCGGTAACAGTCGCTGGACTTGATGACTGGGAAGGTCCTTTCAGTTCTGTGTTCCTGCTTGTTTTTCTGTGACAGCCAGGTATCCATCAGCTGATGAGGACTATTGATCACCACTTCCAGTGTGATTTATACCCTGAAATAATAATTATTATTTCTTTATATGGTGCAGGATGTGCCAACTCCTTGTTCATGGCACTGGCAATAGCTGGTATTCTTTGAGTTCTGATATTTAGGAAAATCTGAATCTTGGCTGTGCAAGTGTATTAGCACACTCGTAGAAGACTTCTAGGGCTACAAAAAAATCACTATTCCCTTTAGAGAATGTTTTAACCAAATTTTGCACCTTGCCCGTGTTAATTTACCAAATCAAGGGACTGGACAAGAAAAGGATGGATTAATCCCTTTCATATGTACTTTACAAATGGAATGGTTTTACATGTAATTATTTTAAGCTCTCCAAAGAACCTCAATGTTAGTTTGCTTGCAAATTTAGCAGTAGCTAAGAGAATGTATTTATTCATAGGCAGCCGTATGAAGATGTTACAACTGATTGCAGACTTGTGTAAGTCTAATATTAATACTGGTGATTATGACATTATGCCAGAAAGTGAACCGCATTAGTGAGGGCTCCCACAGGTGCCGTTGTTCTGGTGCTGCAAATGGGTGAAACGTGGAGATTGAGTAGGTCTCTGGCAAATGTTACCACCTTTTTCAACTTCAGCCTTCCATCAAAAAACAAAATTACTAAATAATAATAACTAAAATAATGTTATTTTCTTGACATGGCAAAATGTATTTCAGTGGAAAATACCCCTCACTCACTCACCCAAAAAAAAAAACCCAACCAAACAAAAACCCTTCCAATTCAACTTCTGCAGCTGTATCAGAATAGTAAGGCTTTTGGAAAGTGACTTTAGCCTTTGATTTTAGCATTCCCTGTTTGTTTTGACATGAAGGAGATTGCTGGAGTGGTATTTTTTTTCTTTCCTTAGAATGAGAAAGGGTATGCACAGAGGTTCTTAGAATATCGTATCACACATAGAATGGATTTCTGAATTAAAGCAGGTAGGAGTCTATTTTGTATCAAAATTCTGGTTTTGAGACGGGGATGGTGACATTTCAAAATGTCACACTAAACCTGAGTAATACGTTTTGAGAAAGAGGTAAAAAGATACGAAGTTTCAAATGCTCAGAAGTAGATTTCAGTTTACTGTACTCTCATGTTATACTATCAAATTAGCTTGTGGAAGAAGAGTTTAAAATGAGATATGTTTTCTTTCCTTCCCTTGCCTTTCATGTCTCCACGTTTCGAGTAATTAAGTTCTTTTAACTGCGAAATGAAACACCAGTTTCTCTAAACAATAGATTAAAGAACAAAACTTCATTCAAAGGCAGCTATGCAAACAGGTGCATGAAGAGTTTTGTGTAGTTCAGGTTTTTATACGTATAAAAAAAATTAGCAATTATACAAAGTTTAAAGGTATGGTTTTCCACATGGTTTTAAGAGTATTTATATGAATTAAAAACACCTAGGGTGAAAGAGAGGCAGTCAAGCACTGTGTTAGGATTGGAGAAGCTTGACTTTACTGCACTTGAAACTGCCAAAATGTGTCAGAAGTTAAAATAGCACTTTCCACTGAAGATGTTTAAAGCCTTAATCCTTGCATCATTTCGCTAATATAGGTCAACAGATACAATGAAATGAATACGTTGTGGGAACAAATGTGTGATCTTATTACTAATACGCATTATATTCTCATCTTAGCGTTCACAGTAATTGTGAATATTGTACAGTGGAAAGAGCAAAGCCGATATGAGATATAGTTTGCATCTGCCAGAATTTGGAGGATCGCTTGCTAGGCTTTGTCAAATGCGTTTTGCAAGTTCACATGCACGTTTTTAAAAGCTACTAGAAGTTAAGTTGTCTTTCAGAGAAAACTGGGCTGTGGTAGGGGGGGGAAAAGGTCAGTAGCATTGACTAAACATCTTCCTCCACCTCCTGCCCGCCCCTTTTAGTTGTCCTTATCATATACAGGAGGTCATTCTAGGAGACAAACGGCACATTTTTGTTCGCTTTGTAATTAATTATGTAAATGGAAACCTCTGTAATAGGAATTTTTTTTCCTGCACACTGACAAAAGCTTCGCCTGCTTTGGCTTGTGAAGCCTTGAGTGGGTGCCTTACCAAGAAAAGCATGCAGAGAGGGTGCACGTGGGAAAGCTGGTGATGTCTTACTTCATACAGATATGTATGTCGTTTTTCCATGTGTGTACAGTGGGATTTTGTTGCTTAGGGTCAGTGGTGTTCCGACTGCCATAAAAAAGGCAATTGGTAGTTCTTTCAGCTAGACCGAGGCACTCATGGGTGTTTTCGTCGCTACAGAATTAATGATCAGAATGGAAACAGTCTGGCTGAAACTGCAC